TTTTTTTCAATTTTCTCGTTTCCCGAATACGTTTCGAACAATCGTGCAACAGTATCGCAGCTTGAATAATCGAACACTGCTATTCCTGTGATTCTTTTGAAATTATCTTTAACGTTCGATCGATCCGTTTCCGCGGACGGCGAACGATAAATTAATACTTGAGTGCGGTTTCGGATTTCGGTTAAAATCAGTTTGCGATATGATACTTAAGCGGCTTTGACGTTAAACGTTCAGTATTACCAGGGTCGGCCGATGCGAAAAGATTCGGCTGACCTCACATCTGAGCCTGGACAAACCAAGTCGAAACGGTTCAGCCCGATTCAAAAGAATGCCGGAACAGAGTTTTGCGAATTTATGCTACCTAACGAGCAAACCGACCGACAAAGCAGCTTCATAGACTGATTAAATTATCTACCTCAACGAATCAAATCGTATTCACGTCCTTCTCTGTACTATAAACGTCGACTAGAGTGTAACGCGGCAAGAGTAATTAATATAGGTTAAAACGCGCCCGCACGCGCGCCTCTGTATATCTATGTATCGAACAATGTAATATAGTGGGACTAATAATTATTTATTTAACGTGACAGATGGAAGTTCGCGCGACGGCCAAGAGACTTCAGCCGAGATTCGAGGAATTTAATTTATTTTTTAAACGAGAAATTATATCGGAACCCATTCGGTGCTTCTCTATCGCGACAGAGAAGAACATTGTTACTTTGTACACGCGTAAAACTGTAAATAAACTGTATATCTGTTGTATTAAACGAATTCCTGCACCGGTTTTACTTCTTAATGCGTGAAATTCTTTTCCTTTGCAGCAAGGGTAGTCCCCTTTGATTGCTTGTTAAATTGAGAGAGGCAATTAGAATTCTTTCCTTTCTAGGCTAAAAATACTTTGTTCAAATAGTGGTCTTTGTTTTCTACGTTTTGCCAAATAATTTCAAATTTTGGGTTTGATCTTTACGAAGTACTGTCTAGATAGAGATTAATATTCTATTAGTGACTCAATTTTAAGGCCTTGTATATTTTACATTTTATCTGGTAATTTGGAATGACATTTTACTACAAAATAGAACGGATAATTAAATATAGCCAGTTTACTAACAGGAACATTGAAACAATGCTTTTAGATGCTTTAGTAACAGTAACTGAACTACAAGACTTTAATATCTTTCGTTACCTCTAACCATCTAGCACGAGTCTTAATTTCAGCGTAAGTTAAACATACAAGTTTGCTAAATGTACGTCTACCTAATACAATTTCAAACTCGACTAGTAATAGAATAGAATCTTTGCCCACAGAAGTATCTATTCGAGACGCACAATTAGTTACACAAGATGAAGTTGCTTTCACAACCTTAGCACGACTTAATTGGTACCTGCCAATCAACGAGTTGACTGTTACAAAGGTGTTCAGAAGAATTATCCAGCAAACAGACTTACGCAGCGAATTGATTCCCCCGGCCAAGCACCACGGTCAGCCGAGCCTTCAGCGAGGCTGCAGAAGGAACGGAGCTTCTCGGAACCGGGTGGCCATCGATCATGATCGTAGTAGTCGCTGGGTAAACAGCATCGAGCGCTGAGTAACGATAAATCGAGTCGCCTCGTTGGCTGCACCTGTACGTAATCATCATCCTGTTAACTCTCACGAGTGCTCTCCCCGTCCCCCGTTGACCCACGAGCGAGGGTGATAATTCAATGTAGAATCAGAATCCGTCCCCCAACCCCCGGTGATCCGTCGTGCGCGTACACACTGATCGCTCTTCCCTTCCACCGCTCTCTTTCCCTCGCCACCTGTCATCCTCTCTCTTCTGGTTGCGCGTGTGTTTCTTTCTCCCTTCAGCCGACGTCGTCGTTGTCTCGAAACTATATATTCCACGGCATACGCAGGAAATAGTGTTTAATGCCGGCGGGTCAGGCCGGGTCTGACCCCCGGTGGTGGACAGCAGTCTATAGGATGACCGAACGCCGGACAGAGAAAAACGCGCGCGTTTGATCGCCGGCGAGAGAAGGACGGCGGTCGGTTGGTCCCCATCGAGCAATTGACGTGTCCGAGGAAGTGATGGAAGGATGATGGCACAATGTGCTTGAATGTCCCATAAGCGAGCGGGATTCTATATTAAACTGGTCCGGTTACGGGTCGTTCGGCTGTCCATCGTTCAGTCACTGGCTGGATCGGCTTGGCCAGGACAACGCGATCGATCGACCCTTGCTTCATCGTCACTCGCATCTGACCGAGTCTGTCACGGATCGATCCGTCAGACCTGCGAACCCGCGGAGACGTAACATGTCCTCCGGGACAGACTTGGACCGATCGTCTTGAAGCCAATCGCGATCGAGGAAGTGACGTGAAACGATAGGGACCGAGAGAGAGATAGAGAGAGAGAGAGAAAGAGAGATAGATAGGTAGATAGATAGATAGATAGATAGATAGATAGATAGAGAGAGAGGCCCCGCTAACGTTTCCGCGAATCATCGGCGACCAAGCGGGACTGAATGCTCGATCGGCTGTCGGCGAACGGGATCCAGGACTCGAACGATTCCTGGCGATCGGCTAGCTGGATAGGAAGCGGCTCGCGGCGTGCAGCACGCGCGAGCAAGTCCGTCGTGAGGCCGTCGAATCGACCGAATCCTTTGGACCCTTCGGCGAATGAGGTGACGTTATTGTGGTTAGTAGGCATGTAAGATGAGAATGGGAATGATTAGAACATTTTGTACGTTGACGATCGAACGTGTTCGATTGTTTGTTCGATTAATTTGACTGTTTCTGTGAAACGAATGGGATTTTGTATAGTTGATGTAATGGACTGGTTAGTCTTTTGTTTTGTTTTGCTTGCGGTTAGTGGACATGTAAGATGAGAATGGGACTACTTAGATCGTTTTATATGGTGTCGAATGTATTCGATTATT